CGCTGCTCTCCTGGGCCTTGGTTCAGCCTTGGTTAAAGGTTAGCCCTCCGGGGCAGGCTTCCGCCAGGCCCAGGAGGTCCCCAGAGCTCGTTCACCTTGAGAGTTGGGCCGCATCCCAGACCTTCCGCCTCGGGAGGGCGTTTTTAACCCTCTTAGCTGGCTCTAAATCCATATCAAAACCGTGGCGGTCCGGGGGATTCGTCTCCTGGAGTCTGCAGTCGGGAGAGTCCACTGCATCTGGACAGCCACCCTCAGTCCGAGAACTACAGACCGTCTTTCCTGAAATGTGCAACACAGCTTGAAGTCACGAAGGATAAGCTATCCGAGCTGGGAGGACCTCTGGAGTGGACAACTGACTTGATGCGGGCGTTTCCCGCTGCAGGTCCTACTCCAAACGTTTGACGTGTGTTAAAGCATTTCTCCCTCCCCACATCCCTTCTTGCAGACGAGGAAACTGCGGCACAGCGAAATTAAGCAACTTGCCCCACATCACGCAGAACCGGGATTCAAACCCAGGTCTAGCTCACCTGTGGTCACAGATCTCTAAGGTCAGCGGATGGTGGCGATTTCCAGAGCGGCTGTATGACTTTATTAAATTATTAGGCAAGTATTACATGTTAAACATGTGTGGTCATAACTTCTGCACATTAACGTTTCTAAATTAAATATTCAGGACCATCATCTTTGGTGATATATATATATATATCTAATAAATATCAGTAACATATATATCACCAATGTGAATCTTTGCCAAACGGTTTCTGTCTTCAAGATAGTTTACCTGCAGGTCACGCGTTTTTATAAATCCGTGAGTGCTACCTGAATGAAATGAGTACCTACCCATTGGCGGTTTTGTGAAGATTAATGAACTAATATATGCAGAGTGTCCAAGCAGTAGGCAGTCACCGAAGGGTAGCTGGTTTTATCTGTTATTAGTCTGCCATTATAAGAGATACAAAAAACTACAATCTATGGCATTTCTCTTCCCTGAACCTAAAAAGCAGAGGTGTCATTGAGATAAGCATTTTGATCCTGTGTAGGCCAAGTCTCTAGACTTAGCAAACACACCTTAGTCATTGCTCAAGACGAGTAACAAGTAAGTAGCTTTAATTTCACGTCTCTTTTGTCTCCAGTGTTTGTTGAGAACTAGAGTTTATATATCTATATAATTCAACTTGAATTTATTTCCTTTGTTGGAAAGAGATCTCATAGTGACAGAGGATCAATTTAGCGAATGTGTCATTTTATATGGAGTTAGCACCTTTAGAAGCCTAAGTTTAGGGACAGGCCAAAAATTTTTCTTGAAGAGAACTGTGGAGCAGAACAACTAAATTTTTCAGATGAGAGTTTTAATCTAGCTCCCAAACTGGGTAAGTTGTTTAATTTTCCACTTTCATTTATTCAGTTAAGATTCTGTCTTAAAGTAGAGGAAGTGTGTGGGAGTTTATGAATAGTTCCTCAAAGTAATGGTAATTAAGGTGAATATATAGGCTTTTACTCTTGTCTGGATGGACCATGATGTTCACAATATTTAATTGAGTAATATGGGTGTTAATTATAACTAAACAACAGATATCCTAAATAAACTGTAGCATTTATGATATTTAGAGGAAACTATTATGTGACGGGTGAGATAATACTTTCCCAAGCAGAATGCAAGGGTAATCATAGTTCTCTGAAACCTTTATCAGCTACCTCCAGCCTTGCTTCTCATTTCTTATCAGCCCGGTCAGAGTTCACTACAGTTTTTCTTGGAGGCAAACCCTGCAAAGACGTGTATGTTCGAAGAGACTGAAGTTTGAGAAAGGACTGTATTTGGTTCTCATTTATTTGGAGTCGGGAAAAGATAATTAACTTTTGATGTTAGTCTACATCTCTTGTAATGTGTTACTTGCTCGATAGTAGTACTTCTTTTCTAGTTTTTGCCTGAGGAAAAAAGAGAACTATTTATTTATCGCCTCTTCTAGTACCAAGTTTGGAAATAAGCTGTACACAATTATTAAATCATTCATTCATTCATGATATATGCACAGGCACATTCTCTGAGGACAGAAAGTGCAATTTTATTCCATTTTTCTTGGGTTTTGGGTTATTTGCTACATAAAGTAGGATACAACTTAAATGCTGAAAAGAATAATTTTACTTATAAGAATTAAATAAATATTTTGAGACACTTAAGAAATTTTATGTTTATTATCGCCTTGCTTTTCTTTATATATTTACCCTATATACATGTATCCATGAATAATATATTGTTTGGCTTTGCCTGTTTGCACTTGACAAAAATGGAAGCGTACTCTGAATTCCCTTTTAATTTTTTCACGTGAAGTTGCATTTTTTTAATTAATCCAGCTTGATATAGTGATGCATTTTCATGGTTGTGCAGCATTCCATTGAATAAGCATGCACATTATCCTTTCTACTGTTGATGAGGTTTGTGCTGTTTTTTGTCTTTTGCTGTTATAACCATTTCTAGTATATTTCTTGTGTATGTGTACCTGTGCATCTCTGGCATATACCTAAAGTGGGATTTTGGTGATGAATATGTTTTCTACTTACAAGGTAATACCAAACTGTGGTAGCACTAATTTATGTTATCACTAGCAGTTTTATATTTTTGCCAATACTTGGTATAATTTTTTTGCCATTCTGGTGGATGGAAAATAGTGTCCCATTTGTTGCTTGCTTTGCATTTCCTTTGCATTTTTCTACTAATGAGGTTGAGCATCTCTGGCCATTCAGATTTTCTTATCTGTGAAATATTTGTCATGTCTTTTGCCCATTTCTCAACAATTACTTGGCATTTTCTTACTGGTCTATAGGACTGCTTCATATATTATGAATCTGAATCCCTTGTAAGTTGTATGTACTGCAAATTCCACATTTCTTTCTTTTTCTTCAGCCTGTTTCCCTTTCTTTCAGTTAGTTCATTTGTTCCCATTTTTCTTATCATTATTGCCCCTCTGTCTGTTCTGTCACAAAGTGTGATAAATTCTGCACGTCCAACTCTGAAGGTAAATACTACCATCTGAACAATTTGTACACTTTGGGTACCTGCCAAAATCAAGTAAAACCAGATGACTAGAGATAGTATTCTCATCTCTTGTCAGCCATAGCTAATCCAGAAAATTGTGGCCATGGTCCTCTTTACCTTTTCGTAAAAACAATATATTTTTGCTTTTTTTTTTCTTACTGTAAGATAAATTTTTTTAAATAGTGTGTGTAATGTTGTTTTTATTCTTTTTAAAAAGTAACTAGGTTAGGGCTAGAATTAACAATGCAAACTTTAGAGTACAAATTTGACATGCCTATAATTTTCTAAGCTTGGTTCATGTAATGCTCCCCTTTATACATTGAATTCAGAGTGGTCTCTCCCCATCAACACACACACACCCCTTTACCTACGCCTCAGGTTTAGAGCTCAGGCTTACAATGATATTTGATATCTGTCTTTCACATGGCTCAGAGCTACCCCTCTCAAAATAGTGGCCTGTATAGAAATTATCTCTTTAAAGCTCACTCCTAACACTCACATAGAGACTTCTAATAATGTTTATTGTTTTATAAACTTACTTTTTAAACAAGCCATTGTTTTTTCCTTTTAACATTTTAAAACTTCCAAGCAGTCCTACAAGATCAAATAAATATTCAGAGAAGCCATCAGGAAAATTATCTGCAGAAGGCCTGAAGCCACTTGGCATTTCCATGAATGAATTTTCCTTCTTGTTGGGAGGAGGGGATTGGGTCCATAGTTTTTAACTATTCTAAGCTAGGTATACCACAGTACAAGTGCCCTCTTTAAAGAAGTTGGATATATTTGTCTGTATGTAAAATGTTAACTTAAGACTTGAGTGGAACTAAAATGGCAGGTTGACCAGTGAAAGGTACATTGTCATCCTGTTTAGCGTCATATGAAATATGACATTACCATATTTGAAGAGGGTGTGAATGATGAAGGATTGTCTTCCTAAAATTAGGGTATTTACTTGATGTTGACATCTGATTTATAATTTTGTTAAATATCTCCAATTGTAAACAAGTGTATGTGTGTTTAATATCACGAGCATTTCACAAGAGACTTAATGTTGAACAGCTAACGGATCATCACTTTGACTCACTTCCTTTCCGTTTCCATATGTAATTCCTTGTCTTGCATAAGGCAGAGTTGAATCCTTCTTAGGTTGTCTGAGCCTTTCTGTAGTTTCCCACTCTTATTAAATCAATCCATAAAATAGTGAAATTGTTAAAATGGACCTGAAAGTGAAAATATTGAATAAAACCTAGCCTTGCCACAACCTTTATTATTTTTTTGGAAAGCAGGATTTATTGAGAGGACAGAAAAGCTCCCACAGTACAAGGGGACCCTAGAGGGTTGCCTGCCACAACCTTTAGAATTGTTATTATATTTTGCTTTAAAAGGCTTGAGTCAAAAGTAAATGTCTATTGAGGTGTTATAAAATGACTGAAGAATAATTTGAAGTTGAAAATACATATGCCATTTATAAGAGGCTTATTGTGAGCTTATTCTTCCTGTTTTGAAGAATGTCTGCCAAATGTATTGAAATTATTTTGAATCAAGGATTGGATCAGACCTATAACCCTTGATCCTGTCCTTATAAACAATATTGAGATATTTCGTGGTCTTGATTTTTCCCTCTAAAATTAATTTCTATATTTCTCCAAAAGGATATTAAAGAGTAGAAGACAAACTTTAGAAATACAAGGAAAAGAGAGTAGTAATGGTTTTATTCTGAATGTAAGCCCTACTTGGATGCTACTTAGTATTTGATTTCTAGGAGAGTGGAGGTACAGGGGATAAGTGAATTTACAGAAAGAGGAGGGTGCAGGGCCAGCCCAGCTCTTCATGGAACAAGCACAGTTTCAGGGCAGTTTTCTAGGAACTCCAGGTTTTCTCCATGTATCTTATTTTTTAATACATAAAAGTAGTCAGCATTGGAGCGGACTTGACCTCATTGCCTGCCTTTTTCCTGGAATATCAGTTATTTGCAGTTTGAAGAGTAGAGAAGAGAGCAGTGAATGAATTTCACTTGATTAGCAATAGCTTGGACACTCGCTGGTCTTGCCTTTCTTCAGCCTCTCCTCCACTTCACCTCTAAATGCTGCAGTGCTTCAGGAATTGTCTTAGAACGTCTTCCCTATCTACGATCCTTCTCCAAGTGATTCCTTTGATTTTTATAACCTGGGAACTCCCAAATTTATCGCTATAGCAGTTCTCAGCTCTAGTCTCATGTATCTGACTGCTGATTTGCTATCTCCATTGGATGTCTCCAAGGCACCTTAAACAAAATGTAACTAGCTCTTCATTCTCCATCTTTGCAAAAATATCATTCCTTTCTCATCACAGACATTGGCACTGTACCTCATTGCACACACCAGAAACTTGGGAGTCAAATTTATTTATTTTTTCTGTAGCTCGTTCTTTCCAGTTCATCAGCCCAGCTTCTCTGTGCCTCAGTTTTCTAAAATTAAAATCATTATACTTTTTAGTAATGTGTTAAGGATTAAAGGAATTAATAAATAAATGTAAAGTCTTAAAACAGTACCTAGCATGTAGTTAGTATAACAACATTATAGTTACTGCTGTTGTTACTACTTTTTCTCTCCCATACCAGTCAACACCCTGGTGCAAGCCACCGTCTCTCCCACAGACCACTGCAGTAGTTTTCTGAGTTCTGTGCTTTAGTTATTGTTCTGCTACAACCCATTCTCCTCAGAGCCTTTTTTTTTTTTTTTTTTTGATTTTTTGTTTTTGAGTCAGTGTCTCACTCTGTTACCCAGGCGCGAGTACAGAGGCATGATCACGGCTTTTTGCAGCCTCAACCTCCTGAGCTCAGGCCATCCTTTTGCCTCAGCCTCCTAAGTATCTGGGACTACAGGCATGCACCACCACACCCAGCTAAGTTTTTTATTTTTTTGTAGAAATGAAGTCTTCCTATGTTGCCTAGGTTGGTCTTCTGGACTCCTGGGCTCAAGCAATCCTCCCACATTGGCCTCTCAAAGTGCTGAGGTTATAGGCATGAAGCATCATGCCTGCTTAGCCCAAGGCATTCTTTTAAAAATAGATCATGTCAGCTGGGTACAGTGACTCATGCCTGTAATCCTAGCAGTTTGGGAGGCTGAGGCAAGAGGATTGCCTGAGCACAGGGATTTAAGACCAGCCTGGATAACTTGGCAAGACTTGGTCTCTACAACAAATTTTTTTTAAAAATTAGCTGAGCATGGTAGTGCACACCTGTAGTTCCAACTACTTGGAAGGCTGAGGTGGAAGACTCACCTGAGCCCGGCAGGTGGAGGCTACAGTATCCATGAGCATGCCACTGCAATCCAGTCTGAGCAACAGAGTAAGACCCTGACTGAAAACAGCAAAAAAATAGATCATGTCACACTTCCCTGTTTTACACCCTTCGGTGGCTTCCCATTGCTCTTAGAATAGAATCCGCACATACTATGCACAGCCTGGCTCCTGCCTATTTACTGTCTTGTTCATGGTGTTCCTGTCATCTGAAACATAATCTGGCTGATCTGTTCCCCAGATGAACCAAGACTTTTCTTTCCTTCTTTTTTTCCAGGCTTTTACTATTCTGTCAGTATAGAATTCTCTGCCCTCAGCTCTTAGTATGTCTAGTTCATTTGCATTTTGGGGGTTTCAGCTCAACTGCTACCTCAATTACCTTCCCAACCCATTCTTTGCAAATTTGCCTCTCCCTATTACTTTCTGTCTCATGTTACTTGGTTTATTTTCATCATGGTTCTTATGATATTGCACAATTATTTTACTACGCATTTGTTTACTTATCAATCTCACCAACTAGGATGTAATCTTTGTGAGGGCAGAAACCTCATCTGTCTTACTTCCTGAAGTCCCAGTTGCATAGTGGGATTATATCATAGTAAATATCAGAAAATACTTACAAATTAATGATAATCTCTAATGTGGAAGGAGAACTCTGCAGAAGGAGACTGTGAAGATCGATCGTTGAAAGTTTTTATTTTATAATTCTGTTGTGCTAAAGACTCTTGTCAAAATTCTCCTTGAAAATGTTGCCTACTTACTTTTTCAAACATATTTTCCTCCCTAAATAGATTACAGAGAAACTTGTCCGTCAGTGTCCCAAAGATAAAAGTAGGTTATGATTAGATGTGACCATGATTTCTGTCTTTGGTCGTAAGCCTTTCTGTCATGCAAAAGGAACTGAAGTAGCCCTACTCCAAGGTAGTAGCTCAGGTACGTCCAGGGTCTCATGCATGAATGTGGTAGGCAGCCACTTTCCTGTCCACCCACACTGTGGCATGAGCTAGCCTTGTGCCAGTAGCAGGGGTGGATGTTGTCCAGGTGGTTGAAGATTCTTATTTTCCAGTAGAGGACACAAACCATGCAGGGATATCTGATAATGTACTTGTCTAGGAAATAAGTAAAAGAAAAAGCAAAACTCTGGTTTTAGTCTCTGTCTTGTGGTTTTTATTTCATTATATGCAAAGATTCAGAATAAAGTCTTGCCTAGAGGAAAAGCTCTCTTTTTTATTTTGTCAGTGCTAAGATAAGATAATAATATGGTTCTTCACATTTTTTGAAAGTTATTGTCAAGCCCAGTGCGGTGGCTCATGCCTGTTTGGGAGGTGGAGGCAAGAAGATTGCCCGAGTCCAGGAATTCAAGACCCACCTAGGCAACTTGATGAGACCTCGTCTCTACAATAAGTCAAAAAAATTAACTGGGTGTGATGGTGCGTGCCTGTGGTTCCAGCTACTTGGAAGGCTGAGGCAAAAGGATGACCTGAGCCCAGCAAGTCAAGGCTGCGGTGGCTGTGAGCGTGCCACTGCCCTCCAGCCTGTGCAGCAGAGTGAGACTCTTACTCAAAAAAAAAAAAAAAAAAAAGTTGTTGTGAAAACTACCACTTTCTATATCCTGAGATGGGGAAGAAGAGCAGGAATGTTTCCAGAAACTTTGGGATAGCAACTTCCATCTCTAATGGAAAGAAGTTAGGAATAATAGGACAGATTTAGGATTAGAAATGGAGAATAATAAATATAAACATTCTTGGAAAAACGATCACAGGAAAAAACCTTAAGTGCCCTCATATGGGAAACCCTTGGGAAAATCCTCTATATGGGTCTGAAACCCTGACACTGATGCATCTTGATGTTTCCTTCTCACATGGAATTAACAGCCTGTGAGTATGTTCTTAGACTATTACGAAAGGTCTCAGGGTTGCTTTCAAAGAAATAGGCTGATACCTGTGCCAAGAAAAAATATAGTATCTGCAAATTCTCCGTAAACTAATTGAGGAGAAAGTCATTTCTTTGTTCACCATTTAAGGCAGAAGAAGGTAAGGACAATTTCTGTCTGAAATTGCTATAATAGTTATCTGGCTGTCCTATAAGAGCAGCAGTGTATGCTAGGCAAAACCAACGAGTCTCCTCAGCCAAAGGGCCCAAGACTATTCAGAATATTGAAGAATCCTGTCTTTAGCAGAAGGCTGAAAACAATGCAGATAATAACCAGGTTTTGTTTAGTATTTAATTTGATAAGGAATAAGGGGATAGTGAAACTTAAGTTTCTGTGTTTCAGGTCTGAAATTTCTTTCTTAAACATTCCTTCTTAAATGAATCTAACACAACTCTAGCCTTAGCTTGGGGAGTTCTCCCTGATTCTGGCAGGCTTTAAGTGTCTGTAATGCAAAGTAATGACTAACTATAATCTAGTAACTATAAATGTTTAATCTTATATAGCTACAGAAGAATGCTTCCATTTTTCTCAAATACAGACTATTCATTCCTTTTATTATCTCTCAGTTAAATTGTAGTCAGTCTAGTGAAGATTACTTTTAGTTCTTTCTCCTTTTTTCTTTTTGTTCAACTAGGATGAATCTTGATGGCCATGTACAGGATCCTGAAAATAAGGAATATTCTTCTGTCTGTGTTGGCAGAGAAGATAACCTTAAAAAATCTGGAAGAATGACAGCTGTTGTTCACGATAGAGAAGTGGTCATTTTCTACCACAAAGGAGAATATCATGCTATGGATATTCGCTGTTACCGTAAGATTTTGTCTTTTATTCATAAAACTTTTATTAACCATGAAACCATCAAAATATAGGTCTTTTTAGTGACTCCATGTAATATTCAATTCCTTTTCAGACTCAGGAGGACCTTTACATTTGGGAGATATAGAGGTATGTACAATTAGATCTATTTTCAATAAACTCAGATCTTTCTTATTTATATTCTTATTATTTTATTTCATTCTTTATTTAAAAATAACATATTGGGTTTGAGTTATATTCTAATGCTTTAAATATAATTTCCAGTATTCTAGGTATTCACAATCCTAGAATGTAAAGAAAACCATTTCTCAGAAAAATATGCATGTCTTTTGGCCTAGCAATTATATTCTGAGATATCTAGCCTATGGATATAATTGTACAATGTTTAAGTATATGTATAGGAAATGTTCATTGTAGCATTATTGATTATAGTGAGTAACTAAAGACAACCTAAATGTTTTGACAATAAGAAACTGGTTAAGTAAATTATGATTCAGCCATGCTATAGAAAACTGTACTAGGCAATCAATAATGGGCAAATCTGTATGTGTTGGTATGGACGGGTGTCAACAGTGTAATTGGGACTGGAAAAAAGCAAGTCGTAGAATAATCCTAATGAGATCCCATTTTTTAAAATACAAAAAAATTTACTTTTTACTTCACACTCTGCATAATTTGACTTTTACTTACAACGAGTATATATTACTTTTTTTTTTTTTTTTGAGTTGGAGTCTCACTCTGTTACCCAGACTGGAGTGCAGTGGCCACTCCCGGCTACCGCAGCCTCGACCTGCTGGGCTCCGGCGATCCTTCCGCCTCAGCCTTCCAAGTAGCCGGAATTACAGGCATGCGCTACCATGCCCGGCTGATTTTTTTGATTTATTGTAGAGATGAGGTCTCACTGCCCAGGCGGGTCTCGAACCCGCGGGCTCAGGCAATCCACTCACCTCAGCCTCCCAAAGGCGCGGGATTACAGGCTGAGCCACCGAGCCTGGCTATATATTACTTTTATAATGTGAGACAAATATACGATATAAATATATTTTTAAAGAAAGAAACCACACTTTGAAGTCTTAAGTGAGGAGGAATGGGGGAATTTGCCCCCATTCCTTGCATTCTAAAACTAGACATCTAATTTTTTATTTTCTACTTCACAAGACTGACTGATCTATCTTTAACTGATGCAAAGTACAAGCTTGAACTTAGCATTCCACTCTCTCTACACTTGATATCTACCTGGCTTCACACCTGTCCTTATGTTAAAAGACAGATGTGTGTTTAAATGATGGAAACGTGAATGCTTGCTGACAGTTTTATGAAGGTACAAATCAGTATTCCTGCACATTTGCTTGTAGAAGAAAAGTGTAGCACCTTCTACATCATAGAATTTCCCCAGTTCCAGTCTATAATGAGAGCTTTAAGTCCTTGCCATTCAAAGTGCTGTCCATAGACCAGCAACTTTGTTGTCACCTGGGAGCTTCTAAGACATGCAGACTCTTGTCCTTCGCTCATCCTGTAGGCCTACTGAATTTAAACAGAGATCTGTATTTAAATAAGATCTAGGTGATTCCCATGTTCTTTAAAGTTTGAGAAGCACTTCATTAAGTTAAAAAGTTGGGAATTAACCACCTAAGAACACAAATTGCTCTTTGAGGAATACATGCTCTCATGCCTTTAGTAACTCCTCTTGAATTTATATCTGGAGCTTGTAGTTCTTCCAGCAGTTAGTGAAAATTCCTATAGAAGCATTTGAAGCCCTTGCTCCATTTCTGTCAAGGAAGTGACATTAATGTCTAATAGATAACAGCACAACTGCAGTCACATGGTATAGTTGTCTGAGCAAATCAGATCTTCTGATAGAGCTCTAACTGGATTTCTTATCAACTGCAAAATAACTTGATGACTGTTCTTAAATTAGATTCTGCCTTGTGCTGAATAATTCTTAAAAATGGGAGGAAAAAAGAGAAACTGCCCTTTTCCTCAACTTGGGTCTTCTTCAGTAGATTCTGTTCAGAATCTGTAGTATATCATGAACATTTGAAATATCAGAATATTAAATAAGTTATCTTCTTCCCTAGGAATTTGATGGACGACCATGTATAGTTTGCCCCTGGCATAAATACAAAATTACTTTGGCAACAGGAGAAGGACTATACCAGTCTATAAATCCTAAAGATCCATCAGCAAAACCCAAGTGGTGCTCCAAAGGAATAAAGCAAAGGATTCACACAGTGACAGTGGACAATGGGAATATCTACGTGTCTCTTTCTAATGAACCTTTTAAGTGTGACTCTGATTTTTATGCCACTGGAGACTTCAAAGTAATTCGGAGTTCTTCCTGATAAAAATATGTAGCAATGAAAAATGTTTATGTTTGGAAATATTTTTAGAATAACTTTCCTTCAATACCAAAGATTATTATTTTTTCCAATAACTATTTCTTTAAAAATCATGTACATCTGACAGGTTTAAGAACACACATACTTAGAATGATGTAAGGATTATCATTAGGAGCAATAGAATACTTTCATCTCAATCCTCTGGATTGATTGGAACCTGAAGGTTATAGGTTTGGGATGTTCAGTTTAAGAAGAATGCAGATTGGCATGCCAACCACTCCACAATTCTGAGTCTTGCATTTTTTTTTCTTTTTTAAAAACACAAGAGCATTGAATCAAAATGATTGAATTTCTACATCATTTGTTTTTGTTTTTTTGTGTGTCAGTATTTTGCATTGCTAAATGTACAAACTTTATACAAAAGCACAACCCTATGATTTTTCAATAAAAATAGGGAAATGGTTTCACAAAAAAAAAAAGGATGAAGATAATTTTGAAATACACAAAAGAATAATAAGCAAGAAGTAAGATTTAGTAGGAAAAATTTTAAATAGAAAAAACCCCTATTTGATGTAGTAAACGTAATTCTGAAAGTTTTAGTATGTACAAAGGAAACAACAGTATGTGGTTCCTCTGTCACCTTACCGCAGGAGTCATCAGCATTCTTCCATTCTTCTCTTTTATACTTCTATGAATTGGCTGCCTTTCCTATTTTATTGTTATTATTTTTGCATTTTAAATGCATTAAAATGCTCACATATTAAGTGTACAGTGTTCCTCAATATGAGGGGGGACCCTCCCAAAAAAACTGGAATTTTTTTGGGAGGGCAGGCCCCAGTTCAGGCTTCCCCCACTAGGTAAGTATTCTAGGAACCCATCAGCATCGGTGTGCCACCTGGCATTTTTGTGAAAGGCTGCATTCTGCTCCAGTGAATTATTTTTGGAGATTCTTTCAAAGCATTTGCCCATTGCATGATGGATGATTTACAAGTGCACCTGCCCACATTGCGCTGAGTGTTCATCAGTTTTTGACCAAAACCAGCATGACCCCTGTGCCCTACCCTCCCTATTCACCTGATCTCACCCCAAGAGACTCTTTTTTGTATCCCCAGATGAAAAAAGTCCTCAAAGGGAAATGTTTTGCCAGTGTGGAAGAGGTGAAACAAAAACCAGCAGAAGCACTAAAAGACATCAAAATGGACAAGTTCAAAAATTGTTTTGAGCACTGGAAAAAGTGTCTTGAAAGCTGTATTGAATCAGAGAGTACTTTGAAGGTGGCTGAAGTTTAAACATGTAAGAATTGCCGGGCTCGGTGGCTCAGCCTGTAATCCCGCGCCTTTGGGAGGCTGAGGTGAGTGGATTGCCTGAGCCCGTGGGTTCGAGACCCGCCTGGGCAGCGAGACCTCATCGCTACAATAAATTAAAAAATCAGCCAGGCGTGGTAGCACATGCCTGTAATTCCAGCTACTTGGAAGGCTGAGGCGGAAGGATCGCTGGAGCCCAGCAGGTTGAGGCTGTGGTGGCCGGGAGCGGCCACTGCGCTCCAGTCTGGGCGACAGAGTGAGACTCCAACTCAAAAAAAGAGCATGTAAGAATAAATACACAATTTTTAATAAGTTCCAGGTTTTGGGGGCCCCCCCTGTATTTAATGGACATTTTTATACTTTAAAAAAATGCCTCCAAAAATGAGGTCAGTTTATATGTTGAATTTAAAAAGAACTTAAGAAAGAAATTAACTATTGTACTAGACATCAAAACCAAATAAGCTGTGGCTCAGTTTTTTTTCCAGTCAGGGCAAATCTTGAAGTAAGGAAGCCATACACAGCTTCTGCCCAGCCTTGGGAGATGTCAACTCTCCTATTTATGAGCCAGTGTACTTTGAATGTCTATGAAATATTCAAATAAAAATGTTTTATAAATTGTTAAAGAATTTTTCTGCATGTGTGTACAGTGAAGTGTTCCTGAAAATATTATAAAGAGCATTCTCTGAGGAACAAAACCCTAGAGAAAAGAGATCTAGGGTTTTGTTCCTCAGAGTTCATAGACAAGGCTGGCTTTACCTTGCCAGTTATTTTTATGGCCAGCGCTGTTCTGTTGCCTGGTGCCCACGCTGTACTGGTTGTTAAGTATTTAGAATAACATCTTGGGTGCTGATTCCATGCAAAACTCAGTAGCACATATAGAATATAAGAGTGAGTGGGACCAGAAAGAATTAGGATGAGTAGATGATGAGTTCAGAGTGAGAAGAGCTGTTGGTCAAGATTGGAACCTAATCTCAAAGCACAGTATTCTTTTTAATTGCATAGAACTAAATTAAAAGTCTAAACCTAATACTTAACATTCTAAGGGACCCACCTGAACTCTTTCTCTTGGTTATTTTGAAAATGGTAAGTGAATAAGGTCTGTACGGTAAAGGCTCTGTCTCTGGAACCCTTTGCTACATATTATTACATTTTCTTTTCCACTGGAATATGGGTAGCATTGAGTAGCAATTGCTACTTATTTCTTAGACTGCTAATGAGGCAGACTTGGGCTTTTTTTTTTTTTTTTAAGTTTTTTTAAGTTTTTTTTTTAAGTTTGTTTTTTTTTTTTTTAAGTTAGAGTCTCACTCTGTCGCCCAGATTGGAGTGCAGTGGCTGCTCCCGGCACCGCAGCCTCGACCTGCTAGGCTCCAGCGATCCTTCCGCCTCAGCCTTCCACGTAGCTGGAACTACAGGCGCGCGCTACCACGCCCGGCTAATTTTTTGATTTATTGTAGAGATGAGGTCTCGCCTACCCAGGCGGGTCTCGAACCCGCGGGCTCAGGCAATCCACTCACTTCAACCTCCCAAAGGCGCGGGATTACAGGCTGAGCCACCGAGCCCAGCCAGACTTGGCCTTTTTATGAATAGCTTATGGCAGCAGCTACTTACCAGGTATAGAAAGTATGCTATCTCTGGGGTAGGGACATTTTGGCCTATTCTGTCAGGTGCTAATCCTTCAATGACCAGCCAGGTTTTAACACGTGTCAAGAATTTAACCCTTTCCACTCGGAGATATCTTGTGGATCACCTACCAGCAACTTAATGGCACTTTTTTTGTGAAATAGTGAAAACCAAATCATTTTATGTTAAATAATATAGTGTTGGAACCAATTATTTTAATGTAATGATATTTGGCTTATAATGGAATTTTGGACATTGAGGAACTTATTTATGACAAAAAATCAATATTTTATATCTTTTTCTAATGTGTAGAAGCATGTGAAACCATCACCAATATGTATTGCAGGTTCATTGATACATGGTGTGCAATAGTAATTTGTCTGGCATCTTTCACCTGGTATTTTTCTATTCGAGCAGACAATGCCGTCTCATTTTCTTCCTCCCACATTAATAATATGTAATTTATTCTCCATTCTGTGCACCACTGTGAAAGCACTTCACACATTCTCTTTCTATGAAATGCCAGCTGATTATTTTTTTTACATACATCTCAGTATATATTCCATTTCTATTTGCTTTCTCATGCAATTTGAATGGAAAACTTCAAGGAAACATACATTTTTGAAAAATTTGTGTTTGCTTACGTTTGTTCTGTATAATCACCAGCAATATCTATATATTTCCTGAGAGGGGACATCTGAGTGGTTTGCTAGATTTACAATGTTCCATCAGAGGGGACAGCCAAGTACAAAGGGTTAAAGAGTATAGAAGAAATCAATTACTTCCTGCAAGCAAAAATCATGGCCCTAGTTTGCAGTACTAATTACAGAAGCATTTTCTCTCAAGAGCCACTGGTAGTAATGAGTAATGACTTAATTTCTTATTCTAAATTTGTGTCTCTAAATCTGGAAATAGGGCTAAGTGTGGTGACTCACACCTGTAATCCCAATGCTTTGGGAGGCCGAGGCAGGGAGATCACTTGAGCCCAGGAGTTTGAGGTTTCAGTGAGTTTTGATCATGCCACTGCACTTAAGCCTATGTGACAGAGTGTGTCCTTGTCTTTAAGAAACAAACAAATCTGGAAATGAAAAATATCACACTATGTCCTGTCCTCATATACAGACATCTTCTCATCAGATGTGTAAATATTGTGTTTAATAAATTTATTATCTGTGAATTGCAAGTTTTTCATAACTTTACAAGTGAGTTACAAAAGAATAATAAGCAGATTAAAACTCTACAGTCTGCAGATAAAAAATAAATTCTTTTATTATCTCTGAAAAAGATATGTAGCATTTTGATAGGGTATTTCCCCTCCTAGACAAAGAATTACACACTTAAAGCAAGTTTTTCATAAAAACAAATATAAATATACCCATATTATAAGCCACGGTGTAAATTCTAACCCACCAAAGGTGAGTTTTCCTGTTCATTAAAAATATATAGTCAAGGCCAGGCATGGTGGCTCATTCCTGTAATCCCAGTACTTTGGGAGGCTAAGGTGAGAGAATTACCTGAGCCCAGGAGTTTGAGACCAGCCTGGGCAACATGACAAGATCTTGTCTCTATAATAAGTCAAAAATTTAAGTCAGGTGTGGCAGCACGCTATTGTAGCTCCAGCTACTTGGAAGTTTGAAGTAGAAGAATCAATCACCTGAGTCTGATAGGTCAAGGCTGCGGTAGCCATGAGAATGCCAATGCACTCCAGCCTGGGTGATAGAATGAGACTTAGACTTAAAAAAAAAGTCAAAACATATATCCTACATTAGGATTAATTTTATTTTCTCTACCACATAAACACTAGAGACTGACATTTTTGTAGTGGTCCCTTTCCCTACAAGAGCAATTCAGTATATGTAGACTAGTCTCCTAGTTTTGTCAGAGGAAGTGTGCCATAGATGGGTAACTTTTAAGCCTTTTCCAGTGACATCTGTGTTCAGATTTGCTCATTCATTTCAGTTGATTGGTCAAACACAGAATGTAAAACCTGGATCTTATTACTCTGCTGATTAGCAGGAAGCTTGGGGTGATCCAAAATGTCTGGCTTCTCTGGCAATGACCTGCATGGTTTTGCTTTGATTTCACCTTCAGAAAACATGGACTCCGAAAGCACAGGCTCCGAAGAGGCTTTCCTAAAGTGTTCACTCTCCTCACTGTTTTGCCTTATGGATTCCTCTTCTTGAAAAATGTTCCTTACCTTCTGTAGCACAGCATTAACACAGACTGCCTAGGTAATAAAAGAGTTTGAAAAGTAGAGGTTTGGTTGTTTTTTTTTTTAAGCTACTAACCACAGATTAAAAATACAATAGATTGTTTAACATAAATTCATTAATCTACATATCCTCATTAAAAAGCACATCTTTTCAGGACCCCCAGCACATGGTAAGCATTAGGAGACTGATTCTTTGTTCTAAATACATCACAAAATAGAGAGCAATGTAAAATCTAGTATGCTTCAATAAAGATGTGTTTTATCTTTTTCCTCAATTCATTAGATGTTTTACAACGTTATTCTCTTGATTTAATTAGATGAAATCTTTTCTGAGAGATGAAATGTGTCCACAAACATGTTAATATCTCAAAGTATTTTTTTGTCTTAATATTCTTCCCCCTAGACCTAGCGTCTACTGTGTGTACAATAAGAAAGACATAACATTTTAGTAAGAAATTAGTAAGATACTAGATGGATGAATTCTAAGCAAGCATGTGATCCACTTTTCCCCCAGAAATGCCAGTCAGTACTTTAAGGGGAAGAATGTCAAAGTAAAACAGAGCAAAATAACTTCAAAAATTCAGAATCACTGAGATCTGTATTAAACCTTCTCTGTAAGTTTACTAATGATGAAGGTGATGCCAAGTATTTAAGGCAAGCAACAAGAAGAGAAAGTTCATGAAATATGAGAAGACTTAAACTAGTTTATTTCAGCAAAGAGATGCCTCATGGTAACAGACTGGACTACAAACACTGGAAGATTTTCCTGAAGAGGTAACAGCAAAAGGGCCTCGGGCCTCGGGCTTGAACAGCCTGTGTCTTCTTGGCCTCCTGCATCCTCTTTTTGCCTGCTTCTCACTGTAGAACAGAAGAACACAGATGCTTTCCCTCCCTTCCCTGCAGTTAGTGTGTGGCTGTGTGAACTGTGGCTCATCAAATAAAATATGTCTGCTGGGAAATAGGCCAGGAAGGATTTTGGGGAAAGTTTTCCTTCCTATAAAGAGATAGACTGTCTTTTGCTTCTACCTGTCTCCCTCTTCCTGCTTTGGATACTGATAGGGATGTGATGTCTGAGCCTGAGGCAGCAAACCCAAGGACTAAAAACACATTTTTAAGAAGCAAAAGGTGAAAGGATCCTGATGTCTTAGGCTGTTGGGGATGCTATAACAAAATAGCATAAACTGAGTAGCTTATAAACAAATTTATTTCTTGTAGTTCTAAAGACAGGGAAATCTGAGGCACTGGCAGATTCGGTGTCTGGTGAGGGCTGGTTTTCGGTTTCATGGTTGACACCTTCTAGCTGTCCTCATATAGTGGAAGGGACAAGGCAGCTCTCTTGGACCTCTTTTATAAGAGCACAACTCCCATTCATACGGTCTCTACTCTTACTATTTAATTGTCTCCCAAAGGCAGGCACAACCTGCTAATACGACCATCTTGGAGCTAGGTTTGGGTAAGAATTTGGGAGCAACACAGACATTTGGCCACAGCCCCTGGATTCTTTTTTTTTCTTTTTAAAAAATTTTAATTGACACATAACTTTAAATATTTATGGGGTACACTATGATATTTTGATACATGTATATATTGTATAATGATCAAATCAGCACCTGGGTTGTTGTTGACATTGTTGATCCACTCTGCACAAACCTGGAAGCTGCCTAACTCCCAACTTCTAATTAAGACAGTTGGTCAGGTATCTTTTGTTACTTGCACCTAAGTGTATTCAATCCAGAGCTAGAAACCTTCAAAGTCATCACCTCCAGTTGCCAACAGCCTCGCCAATTTATCCCAATATGGTCACTTTCTATGAATGCCATGTTTTGAATAAAGGTTGGGAATTGCTTTCCTATTTGATATATTCCCTCTTCTCTCACCTACAAAATTATATCTGTGCTCATTCTAATCATCTTTATGCCAGTCTCAGAAAATGAAGGGTCTTGATCAAGATCAGTATTCTTGTATCTTTGCTGTACCCTACCATCTTTTCTTTAAATCATGTCCTATCTCTTCAGCCTCTTCTGTCTTGACTGGGTCTTTCTCTGTAATCCATAACATGCTTGAGTATCTTCTATCCTAAAATACTGGGGTCTTGGTCCCCTGTCAACTGCTACACATTCTCTCTTTTTTTGGTTAAACCCAAGTCTATGCTTCTGTTTTATCATCTATTCACCCTGAAACCTGTTTATATCTGTCTTCTTTATCCCCTCACGCTGCTGAAATAGTTCTCAACATGGTTATTGTCAACATCTTTACTACTATACCTAATTTTCAAAAATTTTCATTTCATTTGACTTTTTCTGCTTGTATTTGACACTTAGTCACTCATAACTTCCTGAGTCTTTATTTCCTTGATACTGTTTCTCCTGATCTTCTTTCTACCTTTCTCATCGGTGCTTCTTTGTCTTCTTAATGGATTCCTTCTTAGCTCACCCTAAATGTTGCTGTTCTTCACATTTCTGTTGACTTACCACTCTTTTCCCTTGACATGGTTCCACTCATAAGGCTTTAACCTCCAACATATATATTACTTGTTTTCAAAACTGTACCTCCATCCCTGACCTTAGATGTATATATGACCAAGCATCACATCACCAAAAATTGTTTCTGTTGCCTACTTATAAAGTTCATAGCATCACACATTGTGTGGGGTGATTTCAACAACCTTTGGGAAATTAGTTTAATTTTGGCTTTAGTTTAGTTTTTATTTCCCTATAGCCACTTGATTCCACCTATTTTTACAGTGTATTTGTATCCCAACTTGGTTGAATGTCAGTAAATATGAGAGTCACATTTAAGATATTGAGCACCTCCCCCCTCAAAAAAAAAAAACCACTGGCAAAATATTTGATGAATTGTTTTTTTTTTTAACCCATGAATTAATACATTTAAAAGTTAGTTCTTTTTTTTTTTTTCAAGGATGTCTGGGCTATTCTTGACCTTTACATTTCCCTGTACAGTTTAGAATCACTTAGTCAACTTACACACACACACACACACACACACCTTGGATTTTAACTGGGACTGCACAGAATCTGGAGATTGTGGGTAAAATTTTAATCTTTAGTAGTGTGTGTTTCAATATGATATTAAAATGTTAACCAAAATGTGCAAGAGTTCGAACAAAAGAAAAAAATAAAGCACAGAATGATTAAGAGAAATAAAGAAGACCAAAATAAAAAGAAAGATATACCATGTTCATGGATTGGAAGGAGAACTTATTCTACCAGTTATCAAGATGTATAAAGCTCCTGTAATTCTTTAGTAAAGTGCTGAAATCACACAAGAATAGACACATAGAACAAGTGAATGGAACAGAGAATCTATAAGCAGACCTACATATAAAGAACACCTGATTTATGTCAAAAAAAGGGTATCTATAAGCAGACCTACATATAAAGAATACCTGATTTATGACAAAAAAGGAGTTCTAGGACAATAGAAAAAGGGTTTCCCCCCCCTAATAAATCGTGCTGATTAGTTGGATATCATGGGGAAAACTTTTGACTTTTGCCTCACACCAATTCAATGTTGATTATAAATCCAAAGGTGGAAGGTAAAATAATAAAGCTCCTAGAATATAGCAGAGGAAAATATTTTCATAACTTTGGGTGTCAATCAAGATTCTCTATGACACAAAAAGCACATAACATAAAGGAAAATATTAACATTAGATTACATTAAAAGTATGATCTTCTGGATGTATGTATTTAAAGACTGGGTATCATTTTGTTGCTAAGGCACCTGACTAAGAATTTCTGCTTTAAAAGACACTGCTAAGAGAATGTAAAGGCAAGTCACAGAATAAAAGAAGACATTTTGCCCCATATAATCAAAAGAGGACTTGCTTGTTCCCAGGATATGTTTTACAAATACAAATTAAGTTTTTAAGAAAGACATCTCCCAATAGAAAAATGAGAGGAGACAGAAATTCACAAAGAGATATTCAATTGTCCAACTAATGTATGCAAGTTACTCAATCTCATTAATAATCAAGGAGATACAAATTAAAACTACAATGTATTAATACTACATATCCTCAAGAATGACTAAAATGGAAAAGATTGACAATACCAAGTCTTCATGGTGATGTAGAGCAACTGGGACTTCTATAAAATCTGCCAGGATTCATGTTAATTGTTAACTATTTAAAAAATTGTTTGTCAGTATCCTCTAGAGATGCATATATGCATATCCTATGGCCTAGTAATTTCACCAAAAGATGTGTATAGGCATATTTATAGCAACCTTATTCGTAATAACCAATACTGGAAATAATTCAAATGCTCAGCAGCAGTAGAATGAATAAATAAATGTTGATATAGTCAATCAGTGGAATACTATACAGTAAAGAAAATGAACAAGTTGCTACCACAGGAGATTAATCTCACAATGACAATGTTGAGCAACAGAAGACACATAAAATAATATATACTATATTATTTCATTTACATACAATTCGAATAAACTGTCTCCAGTATTACAAGTCAAAATAGCAGTTTCCTGTATAGAAGAAGGTAGTGACTGTGAAGGGGCAAGAAAGAGTCTTCTGGGATCATTGGTAATGTTTTGTTTCCTGACCTGGATGATATATAGATTAATCAATTTTGTGATAATTCATCAAGCTGTGCACTTTCTTCTTTGTATTTTTTTAAGTTAAGTATAAATGACCATTTATTAACAAAATAAAACCCTTATGATTTATAAAATCTTTTATTTTTTTCATACATAGCACTTCTAATCCAAAAACATACTGATGCTTGTGTTCCCCAAAGTAAGAGACCCAAAGTGATGCAATACTGAACTTCAGCCAACCCATGGCAGAATGGCTGAAACAAAACAACTGTAGCTTAAATAGAAGTAAAACTAATATTTTGTGATGAAAAATATTCAAATGGTAGCAGGGCACAGTGGCCCTCACCTGTAATCCCAGCACTTTGGGTGGGGAAGGTGAGAGGATTGCCTGGGTCCAGGGGTTCAAGACCAGCCTGGACAATTTGGCAAGACCTTGTCCTTACAATAAATCAAACAATTAGCGAGGCATGGTGGCACATGCCTGTGGTTCCAGCTACTTGAAAGACTGAGGTGAAAGGATTGCCTGAGCCCAGCAGGTCGAGGCTGCAGTGGCTGTGAACATGCCACTGCACTCCAGCCTGGGAGACAGAGGGAGATTCTTACCAAAAAAAATAAAGAAAGAAAGAGAAAGAAAAGAAAAATCTTCAAATGGCAAATAAACTTTATGAGGATAAAATAATTTTAGTTATTTAAGCAAATTGGATTTTGGTGAATTGATCTGGCTCATCAGAAAAGAGAGTTTTTAATATAAAATAATTTGTGTAACAAAATAATGATATATTAGTTTGTGAGTGGTACCATTAAATGCTGTACAGTACACTATTATCTTTAACATTACAGAAAATAAGTAGGCTTATTTCTAGAATCTAATAATTTTCTCAACTTACCAAATAAATTAGTGCTGCATAGGAAGCATATATTATGCTAGTTAAGGCAGTCTTTGCTGGAAAGGAAATGATTTCAAACAAAGAACCCTTTCTGATCTGCAAAAACAGAAAAGATTTCCCTATTAAAATAAGAATTTTCAATGTCATATTGTACCATGTTATTGTAAAATGAGAATGTAATTATCTTTTCCTAAATAAAGTCATCTATCCTAGAGCTATCTGGGCTTCTTTCACATTGTGAAGATATATCAGTTTACTTCACTTCTTTTAACCAGAGGATACTTTCTTTTGCTAATCAAAACCTATGACAGATCTATAAAAACCTTGCATTTCTGTAATCTAAATGACGAACTTTTCACAGTTACTAACTATGCACACTAGGAGGTGCTGCTGTGAATATTACAAAAACAGTCTTTTCTTTGTTCAAATTCATGTAATCATTCCTTACTAAATTATTCACAACCTCAATTAAGCAAACAGTGATCAAAATACTAAGCTTTTCCTGGAGATTAATGGCCTGCTTGGAAATGTTAATCACGGGGCTGCTGAAGGCCAGCATTAATCTTAGATAATCATTAAGCTTCAGGAAATGCCCTGTGCTGGGGTCCAGCATGCTATTTTGAAATGTGAAGTTTTTACACCAGTGATGAATTTGCCTCTCGTATGTTTCTCTTTTCTTCTGGCAATAGCTTCAAACATATTAGCTGAACACATTCACTTTAAGGGAACTATCCTGCCTTATAGGCGCCACCTCTGGTGCCTTGAACAGGGTATGAAATGAGGACACTGGGAAAACATTCCCTTCCCATTCAGCAGTGAGGTGGCAGTTAGCCATGCTCCTCTGAAGTAAGAGCCAAGCCACTCAGTGGCTTCTATGAACTTCCAAAAGGTACAGGCTGTGGCTAATAAAATCATATAAATGCATGGTAAGAAAAATGCACACAATGATGTTCATTACAAAGTTATGATAACATTGAAAAAGCAATCAATGATACTAGAATGATTAGGAAAATTAGGATACATTCACTCAGTGATACATGACCTTTTCTTTTTTTGTTTTTTAAAGCATGTATGTATTTTTAATCAAAGCTTTGTCATTGCACATACCCAACAAGTACAATTTGATGTTTCAATACATAAGCAGGTTTATAGCGATGTATAGCGATCCAATCAGAATAGTGTATCTTTCACCTCGTGCATTTATCATTTCTTTGTGGTGAGAACATTCACCTCTTGCAATTATCATTTCTTTGTGATGAGACCATTCAAAAAGCCTCTCTGCTAGCTATTTTGTAATACACAATATTTTACTGTTAACCATAGTCACCCTACTGTGCCATGGAATACCTGAAGTCATTCCTCCTGTTTATCATAACTTTGTATCCATTGAGCAACCTCTTCCCATTCCTCCCTCCCACCCTTCCCTCCTCAGTTTCTGGTAACTACGTTTCTACTCTGTTTCCATGATATCAACTTGTTTTCTTTTGTTTGTTTGTTTGTTTTAGATTTCACATGTGAGTGAGATCATGTGGTATCTGGCTTATTTCATTTAACATGATCTTTTCCAGGGTCATCCTTGTTGTCACAGATGATAGGATTTCCTTTTTATTTAATGATTGAATAGCATTCAGTTGTATATAGAAGCCACATTTTCTTTATCCATTCATCTGTTGGACTCTTAGGTCGATTCCATACCTTGGCTTTTGTCTGTGGCCTATTAAAAGGTGCTTCCAAAGAACATGTGACAATGTTTTATTGAACAAACACAGGGCACTGTGTACCAGGTCCGGTTCTATGTGCCTTATGCACATTCTCATTTAATTCTTAAAACAATCCTCTGAAGGTGGTATTATTATTATCCCTATTCCACAAATGGAGAACAGAGAAAAGAGTTGTCGGTAACTTGCTCATGAGAATATAGCGGGTAAGTAGCCAAGATAGATTTAAACCGAGAATCGTACCCCAGATTCCAGGCTCTTAACCTGATCCTGAAGCCGCGCTGCCTTGGAACACGCTGCTCACGAACAGTGGGAAAGGACAGTATCACAAGGCTGCGCTCTGGAGCAAACACATTGAGTAGGTTTATCTCCTGGCTCCAGGGTTTATAAGCAATGAAACCTTGGACAAATTCATTTTTCCCTCGGAGAATTTGGAATCATAGCTAATATTTATTTCACAGGTTTGCTGTGAAGATAAATAAGAAACTGCTTGAAAGTGCTTAGTAAAATGTCTGCACACAGGTGCAGTAAGCGACACGGTAGACATTCTTAGTACCTCCTGATATTTGAGAAAGAACAAGGTTCAAAATGTTAAGCATAGCACATGAGATTGGTTTCATGTATATGACATACAAAAACAAGCCTGTGCTTTTGGAAGACAAGCAGATGGTTTTCCCAGCAAGGGTGGGATTAGTGACTGGAAGGCAGCATGAGAGTTCTTGGGCGCTGCTCACCAAGATGTGTTCAGTCTAGGAAAATTCACTGAACTGTACACTTCATGGATTTAATGCAGCATTCTGTATACTTCAGTTTAAAAGCTAAAAAATTTTATGTCCAATATTTTTACGATAAAATAAACACATCGACACTGCATTTAAAAAGTTTGGATAGAAATGCACCAAAATGTTAACTGCTGTTCTAGTGGTGCAGCTTTGTGAACATTTCTAGAACTTTTATTACATTCTAGGTTTTATTCTAATAGCTTTCCTGGCATTGTCTCACTTTATCTTCTGACCTATGAATTGAGAACATAGGTTCAGCGAGATTAAATTCTTTCTTGTTTCCTGAATTTTCCAAGTTAACATGAGAGCATATATGGCATTTATATAAATGAAATTAGTAAAATATAAGTGTGCTCTGTGTCCTGGTGTAGCCTGCTCAGTTTTTGCTTGTTACTGCCACTACTGAATAAAGAACAAAATAACCCACCACGATTTCTCTCCTTTCCTCTTAAGTGATTTATGGGATACTGAAATCAAGTATACAATCTGGCCTAGTAGCTAAGAATGGGAGACAGGGGTGTTGGGGGTAGGAGAAGGCTGTTTCTTCTTCCTGTCTCTTTGGGACATGCCAATTCCTAGATGTAGGGACAGGTCGAGGAAGTCAACCTGCAAAACTTCTGGAAAGAGTTTCCAGGAAATGGAGCAGCTACTGCTTTCCCTCTCCTGCTAGAAGAACAAAATGATAACGTGTCTTTGAATCCCACTGTTAGGCTATCAGGTGACAGAAATACAAGTAAAGAGCAGACTCTTAGGAGGGGGGAAAGCAGATATATCCCAATAAAATGCCTCCCAGCAGGGTGAAAGGATTCCCTGATGGCTCCCCTTGTGTTCCTCATCAAGGTGAATGCATGCATGCAGAATGAGAGTCCATGTTCAATAATGGCAGGCCACATACAATAAAAATAACAGTGGCATCTGCATGAGGAATTACTGTTTCTACTTTACTACATCTTTCTCAGATTTTGTCTTTCATCTAAAAGTAATTAAAACTGGTTAATTTCAAAATAAATTATATATTTGATATATGTTACACTTCTGAATAATTCATCCTGTATATTGCCTGCAGATTACTTTTTTATTATTTTAATGTTTTTAATAAATACTTTTTATTCCTGTAACAAATCATCCCTGTAGAAAATATATTCCCTCTGAAATTTATGCGGCTACTGGCAAGTAGCCATTTATCAGTTTTATGACTCAAAACATATTTTTCATGTTATAAGCCATGCTGTTTCATTTTCAGCTTGCTTTGAGCAGGAATGGTAAAAACTGATATGAATAGGAAATATTTGGTAAATGAGAGTCTTTAGATTGTCTCGGCCTATTTCAAAAAATTGTTATCTTAACCTTGTTATACTAATTTCACTTTATTTCCAAATTTGAGCTAAAAATATACTGGTATCAAGGTTATGTTCATAATGTTTCTTTTTTAAATTTGGTAGTATTAGCATGTAAAATATATGAATATTTAAACAGTAAAAACATTCCAATCTTTAAACTTCTCACATAATTTTGACTGCCTCATCTTATTAAAAAAAAAAAAGTATCTGTGTTTATCTTATTTTCACTAATGAGATAAATCACAAAAAAAGCCAACTACTCTTAGAAAGTGAAGAGACACCGTACATGACTGGAAGGTTGGAGAATTACTAAGCTCCACTTAGTTAACATTGTCCAAAACCACCTTGATGAGGGGCACAAGGAGAGTCATCAGGGAAACACTAACTCAGTGATTTCACAATAAAAATATTGCAAGAAACAGAAAAAAACAATATTTCCTATAAGATTGGAAAATCTACATCACCATGTCTTTGCTTAGCAACTCATAAAACTCACGAATACAGGAAAGACTCTTAGCAGCCCACAGTAAAGAAAGCTACTTGGCTTCCTTCACCCCAGTGTTAACATCCTGTAGAACGCTGTTCTCGAACAAGTTTTTAATCAGGTAGTCCTGTAAAAAGCTCAATGCCCCAAACTTGAGGCCAACTTGGAGAAGTATTTTATGTCTTCAAGAGTCCAGAGGCTCTACTTTCTAGGAAATGTCCTCTTTCCCCAGGTCCAGGTCATACCAGCCCAGAGCCTCGTGGCAGGAGCATCACATATCACTTCCTGGTATTTGTGAGGTTTGTAGTTTAAACCACAAACTGAAATCTAGAGGGGAGAGTTAAGGAAGAAACTTTACTTAGGTAAGCTTCTAACCTTCATCCTGATAAGAGAGCACAAGTTCAGTGGGAACCACCTATGGCTCAGGCGTGTTAGAAATTTTCTTCACTTCGGTCCATATCTTCCCCCGTATCAGTCCACAGTGCCCATATGAGGTAAAAACAGTCATCTCTAATGCCCTTATAGAGATGATTCTAGCACAGGAAGAGCTCCTGGTCCTGTGGCTCTGCACTGGCCTGCCAAAATCAACAACGATGTCTGGGAGCTGACGTGTCTTGGCTGAAGTCAGCATTCAAGCTGATTATCTAGGTCACTGCAGCCTCAAGCAACTGCAGCTTCACTCAGTCAGGCAGCTCCCACGGCTGTGCAGATGCCCTGTTCTGTAAGTGCTGCTGCTGGGATGCTGAAAACCACCAGGAAATTGTCCACTAAG